ATGCCTAAACTACACAAAGACTCAACAGAGAAAGAGAATCCAAGACTAATCACAGATTACAGCTTGTCTCTGTGTGGGGTTATATTTGGCATCTGAAGTTTACATTACTGGTGTACCCAATATTTTCTGGCAACATTATATACTTTATGATATTTAACATAATAATTTTGTTCTGAAATATAATTTGAAAGTAGGTAATTTGGTACTTGTGGTCTTCAGTTTTCTGTTTGATTACTTTGTTGTTGTAAGCCCTACTAAATATAATGTTAAGTTTTGTAATTGCTTTTCTATTTCAGTTAAAATTTTTATCATGTTGTACTTGATGAGGATTGAATTAAATTTGAAGCTTGCTTTCTATAATAAGCTTATTTTCACATAATAATTCTGCTATTATGTTAACACGGGAAGCCTTTCCATCCTTACTGTTTCCTTCAATGCATTTCTTCAGTGTCATAAAGTATAGACACTGATAAAAAAAGTATAGAACTCTTTTACCTCCGTGATTTTGTTTATTTCATGTCATATTTTTTCAAATGCTACCATGATAAGGGAATGTTTCCTGAGTTCTTCCATAATGATTTAGTTTTCAATTACACAAATAATATTGAACATGGAATATTGATTTTGTAAAACACTGTATCTGAGATTTTTAGTTAGGGCATTTCACATATAGGTTAATAATTGCTGTAAATAGAGGTAATTTTCTCCTTTTCCCCTTGAATCTTTCTTATGCTTTTCTATCTCAGGCCTCTACCTAAAATTTTATACGTGTAGAAAGTGAGCATCCTTGCCTTCTTCTCTATTTACTATGAAATAATTTTACATATACCTTATTTGGGTAATGGTTGATACATCTTTCTATTTCTAATTTCTTCACTGCTTGGTTCATGAAGGATATTTCATTTTCTGTAAGTTCTTTTGGCATCAATGTAGAAGAGTATCATGAACTTGGTCCTAAGTTTATTAATACACTACTGCATTTACTGATTAGCCATTGTTCTACAATTCTAGAATCCAACTAATCAAACCAACCCTCATGGTATATTATTTAATGTGTTCCATTCTCAATGTTTTAATATAATACTTATCAATTCATCTATTTTTGTCACATGCATATCATTTAGTTTGTTGATATTCACCCCTTATTTCTCCAACTAAGTCCTTCAAGAGCCATTCCTAGATCTTATTCTAAATTCAAGGGATGAAGTGGGAGGAAGAGGAAGAAAGGGGTGATTAGGAAAATCTAACACAATAGATGTTAATAATGTCACATGGAATTATGCATGTGTGTGTATTACTATCACCAGTGGAAAATGATTTGCTGAAGTACAGAATAGTGTAGTATAGATCCACAACTAAGCTAGGATAATTCACCTAAGATCATTGGTGAAAGCTGTTTCAGAGGTGACCAAAAGAATACAAACTATTGTGGCTATTTAGGATTGTGAACCAGAAGCTCATGGCTAAGATCCTTTTGATGAAAGCACCAATCACTTTTGTCACAGTGTATAAGTAAACACATTGGTACTGATGAGAGCATCTACAACATGCTGGTTACCTTTAATAGTCTAAAAACATGCTATGTTAGTTTCTGGTGGCTGGGAGAAAGTATTATCCTACTGGGAACCTTATGAGCTATATTCATGACAGGAATGGCAAAATAGGCCCATTGGGACAATAGTGGCATAGATATTATAAAGGTAAACAACCTTTTCCCAGTAGGATTAAGATCCATGTAGAAATGTATGATTTATATGCTATTTTTAGAAATAGGATGTTGGTGTATGTGCTTATTATACAAATTGGTTTTCAGTTATATTTTATTGTGCCCTTATGTAATTTTCTGCTAATTTTTAAAAATAGCATGTCAAATAGAAGGTTATTTTCTTTTACTTTTGAGATTTAAATACAACTACATCATTGTCCTATTACCCTTTATCCCTCCAAACACAACCACTCACCCCTCCTGGACTCTTTTCAAATTCATTGCCTCTTTTTTTGTAATGCTTGTTACAGATATATAATTGAAGCATTTTCCTAAATTTAACACTCTCTGTCAATATAATGGTATCTGTAGATATATTTTATAGCTAAACATTTTATATAAAACAACTTTTCAATGTGCTTTCCCCAGGAAAGACTATTTCTCCAGATTTCAGCATGGTTTAGTTGTCTTTCAGTAGGGTTGAGGCCTCAAGGACATTCCTCTGTTCATTTTGAAATTTTTATTGTTGTTGTTATTGTTCAGCTCATGCTTAGACAGTCAGGTTGCTGAGACTTTATGGGTATAGTCTATGATATTATTAGAAGACACAGTCTTTATAGCAAACTCCCTGATCTGGCCTTTACAATATTTTCACTTGCTGTTCCATAATGACAGTTGAACTTCAGTTGCTGAAGCTGTTATGCAGATGTATCTTTTGGGACTGAGCCTTACAATCTTCATTTTTGAACAGTTGTGGTATTCTTTAACTATAGCTGTTCAGAGGAAAAAATTCCTTAATTGGGAGTGAGTACTATACTTTTCCGTGGGGTATAGGGACAGATATGTAGAGTGCAGTTGAGGATTATTCTGATGAAATAATATGATTGTGGTAAGTTTTCCTCCAAGACTCATAACATCACTAGCCCTGGATAGTTGTCTAGGTTTCAACACCAGGCATGATTTTCCTCTCATTGAGAAGATCTTAAGTGTAATAAGAGAGATGTTGAATAACCCCAAGCTTATGCCACAATTGCAACTTTGGGTTTGTTGAGTCCCCCTACTCCTTGTTATGCCTCACAGGAGACACTTCATAACTGAAGACCTCAGACTGTCAAGAGTCTTCATGTTAGCTTGAGGCTTAAGTCTCCAGAGCTCACACTCAAGGCTTGATTCTACTTTTCTTCCAGCTAGTATGCTACTCATACATGCCTATGCTCATGCAGGTCACTTGAGGATCTGGGTGTTGACCTGCACAGAGACACACATGTGGGCTAGCTTGTATCTCAGCCAAATCATCAGAGAAGTTCCAAGGTGAGCCAGACATAACTGCTATTGGGAAAATCAGGGATCATTTCCTGACTTCTCTCAGTAACTAAGGCTATTGTAATAACCTGAGCAGGGGAATAAAGTCAGTCCAATTAAAACACTGAATGACTCTTCAAAGTCATGTGACTACACACACCTCACTCTGTCTTATAGATTAGGTTCCTTTGGGGTGATCCAAGTCTTTAGGAATATCTATTCCTAAGCTTAGACATCAGTAAAGATACTAGTGAGAAGCTTAGACAACATTAAGTGCCTATAGAGTGAATGCATTCAACTACTGAGTATAAGGGAAAAAAATGAATCCTAAGGAAAGTTAAGGAATTAATCTTGACTATATCAAACATCATAGTTTAAAAGAATGAAAAAGGTTGAATAGAGCTGCATTATCAAGGCACCTAAAAATGTGACATACATTTTAGGAAAAATCATAAACAAAGACCAGAAAATAATATCACCTAAGAACACATTTAAAGAAGGTAGGAAACTCTTCAGGTTAAAGAGCAGAAAAGGCTGTTGTCATAAAGGTCTTTATTTCTCTTATGTGACATTCAGTCCTGGGCAAGTCCTCTATAATGACTTCAGATAGTTATTTTGGGGCATGTATATAGCCCATTAGCTGCTTTGTCTCACATGCAGAGGTAGACTGACAATATGTCACAGCATATGGTCTGTTCCTGTGTTATATTATACATGAACAACATCATTCTTTCCACATGATGTGAACTGTTTTTTTCTGAATTTCATCTTACTAGTGAGCTATCTGACATTACCAGTACAGCATGCAGTTTCCATGAGAGAGACATCTTGGCTTCTGTAGAGATATCCAGCAATATTGAAACATTAAAAACAGGAGTATCATATTCCTAAAGAAGGATTAGATGTAAAGTCATGAAATATCCAATATAAAATTATTTAACAAGACAAGTGCAAAGAAACAGACAAAAATAAGGAAACTCACTCTCTGTGGTAATGATCACTCTTTCATCATTTAAATGTATATTTGCAAAATTTTGAGTTTCCTTGGGACATTTTCATAGGCATTATGAATATCTCCATCTTTTTTAAATTATTGTTTCCAAACTTCTGTTTTATTTTTTATTTGTGTGTGTGTGTGTGTGTGTGTGTGTATGCGATTGTGAGTTTAGAGTTTTTAGAAGACGATGTTAGATGCCTTGATGCAGAGATACAGTTCAGTTGGTTTTCCGCTGCCCCGCTTGGATTCTGAGAATCAATCTCAGCTCTGTCTATAAGAGCAGTATGCATTCTTCACTGATATGATCCTCTCTCAATTTCTGTGTTTAAAAAGAAGATTACTAGCCCTATATTTAGCAGCTTACATACATGTCTATTGTATGTCATATAAAATGAGGCTCTCTTTCTGTGAGACATTTTTATCTGTGATTTGAAATCTCATTAATTTTCATATATTCCAAAACAGATTCTATTTAATATTCCACTGTAATAGTTTAAATGAGAAATGACACAGACTAAACAGACTTTTAGAACCATACCTCAACATGTCTTGGTGCTGTGCCAGATCTGTCATGCAGGTTTTACTGCTGTGGATATCTAAAGTTCATAAATATAGGCACAGTTGTAAAAAATGCATGGATGAAAGCAGTCATGCAAGAAACCTCAAGGTATTATTAGCTCAATGTGGGCTACCAGTTGTACATGTCACAATAAGAACCAGCAGAAAAGGAAGGTGATGGAAAAATGGTTGGTTCCTAATACAGATACCCTGTAGGAATGCCAGACTGAAGTATCTAGGAATTCACCTCTTCCCTTCATACCTAAACCAAGCTCTAAGTCAATTGCAGCATGCCTTGGACTCAAGGAATAAGGCTAGTGATCTGTCACAAAACAATGTGGGTGTCAGGAGGCAGGGCATCCCATCTCCAGCCACTGTATCACAGGCTGAGACAGAGCACAGGATCAGAATAAAAAGACCGATGGACATGGCATTTCTATCCACTCCCTGGCTGAGATAACCACAGATCTTGTTCTACCCATTATTTTGGTAAGTGTCCTCTGGAGGTAAGGGTAATGACTTCAGAATGAAGCCAGAGTAGAGATGGGCAGGAGACTGGGAAGGATCTCTGGGACTTGTGGCCACATCAATATATCATGTTCAAATGTGAGAGGTGAGGCAATGGCAGCATTGAGAAATACTAGCCACAGACTTGGTTCTGAGAAACACTGGAAAGAGTTGGGTATTCTGGCTCTGGAGAGCACAAAGTACTGTCAGTGTATAAGACCTGATAGGATAGGATAATTAAGCAGAGAGAACTGTGCATCTGAACAGGTTTCCAGGGGGAGTTGACTTTTGAAGAAAATGTTCTCCCTCCCTGCTGATGAAAAGCTAGAGTCAGGAAAGTCAGCAAGGTCTCATTTTGGCTTGGGAAAGAAAGAGAGCCCAGCTTCTGGGATCTGTTCATGTATTTCTCTGATCAAAAAGTCAGTACCAGGATGACAATGTCCTTTCCACCATTAGACTGAGGAAGTTGCGATTTGGATACACCTGAACACTGCCCTCACAACAGGGGCTTGTGTTCCCAAGGAATGTCTGAACAGGGTTTACATATTTTTCTAACAGGAGCTGACCTAGAAGGGCCTTTGAAATTCCAATGTTAATCTAAAATTACCTTCAAGTAATGCTTGTTCTTTTCTTTACAATTAGTTATCTCTGAAGTAGAGCATATATTAGCATATGTAAAAGGAGTAAGAATAGCAGACTTTTTCAAATGTCACTAGATATTATTTTCTGTTGCTGGATTCCAAAAGTCCAGTGTATTATATGCATCTGTTTCTGATGTTTAAAGAAATGAAAAATGGGATGAGATAACCTGAGAATACTATAAATGAAATGATTACAGATGGTGATTCTACAAAGATCAGGAATCATTCTCGGGTGGGATGCAAAATTGGTCAGATGATCAGTATCTGGTGTCTGACATATCGATGACTCTCTCACAGCTCCTGAACACCCACAGCTGAGATGTCCTGCCAGCAGAGCCAGCAGCAGTGCCAGCCTCCTCCCAAGTGTACACCCAAATGCCCTCCCAAGTGCCAGACCCCAAAGTGCCCTCCCAAATGTCCCCCTAAATGTCCTCCCAAGTGCCCCCCTGTGTCTTCCTGCTGTAGCCTGGGTTCTGGAGGTTGCTGTGGCTCCAGCTCTGGTGGCTGCTGCAGCTCTGGTGGCTGCTGCAGTTCTGGGGGTGGAGGCTGCTGCCTGAGCCACCACAGACCTCGAAGATCTCTCCGTCGCCATCGCCACAGCTCTGGATGCTGCAGCAGTGGTGGCAGCAGTGGCTGCTGTGGCAGCAGTGGCTGCTGTGGCAGTAGTGGTGGCAGCAGTGGCTGCTGTGGCAGTAGCCAGCAGTCTGGGGACTGCTGCTGACCTGGATGAGGAAGACTTCTGACAAGTAGTACAGGAGGAGCACATGCTCAGAAGACTCCTCAGTGCTTGATGCTCTCTCCTTCTACTTCCCTCCTTTCCTGCCTTCTGAGATGCTGAAATCTCCTGGCAAATGATCTGCACTCTCCTCAGGAAATGACATTTTCACTTTACTCCTCTGTTACAAATTAAAAAACTCTTGACAACAATTCTTGACAAGAATGTCATTTTTTTCTCTCTCAGCATCATCCTGATTAACATCCCTTCATCGTGTTTTCTTTTAAGCAGAGCATGACACCTAGAGTTATTTTCCTCTTTTACATATATATGTGTTTTCTATGACTTTATACTATATATTGTATATGTAAGAAGATCCTTGGTCTTTTTAATAGTAATGCCCATGTGAAAACTTAGAAATGACAATCACTCCTCACAATTATAAAACAGGGAAACCAACCCACTGTCAAGGGAGTTGAAGGCATATGTCCACTATTAGACACTTATTAGAAGGATGATAATTTAACATTCAAATTAAATGAGGACAATCAGGATACCAGTCAATCATTTCTTTTTTCACTTTGTTGTTGTTGTTGTTCTCCTGTAAACAAATTCGTGACCTAGAAATTCATAAATGTACATATTTCTATCAAGTAATTTTTCTCCTGTAACTGATGTGAACTTCCTTTCTTCCTCTCAGCTGATCTTTGGTAATGCTCTCATTCCTTCCCCTCTGTTAGTACCTTCTGAAATTGTGACAAGTGAGAAGTTCATTATTGGAGAGTGAAATGATTGGAAATCTTTTCAGATGACTGCTCCCTTCTGTGTTTTAATTTAATACACATTTCCACAGTTGTACTAAGACAAATTTCTCTTTAATCTTGTGGTTTCCTTCATGTCTCTAACTCTGTCTTCCATCATTAGTAGGAACGAGACTTTGTCATTATTTTCCCACTGTCACTTCCGCAGGAGTGCCCCTAAAGTACACCCAAACACCCTGTCAACCCCCAGAGTCTTCAAGTTTACATATATACATATATAAGTTTAAATATATGTGAAAACGTCCCTACAATACTTATCCACATTGCTATATATAACTTAAGCTAAATAAAATTCATTCATTTAAACCTAAAGTTATTCTTATACTCTATTTAGAGTTATATGCCCCAAAGAGCAATGCATACTCTGTGAATACTGTTGAGAACTAATCACATGCAATTTGAACAATTTATAAAACTTTCATGGCTCACTGTAATATATAAATAAAGGCCACAGGTCAGACTCCTATCCAGGAGTCTCCCTGACAACTGGGACAACCAGATAAGTTACCCATTCCCCAACGCCCTGCTTTCTGGGACTCTGGCAAGCTCATCAGCTATGAGGTATGTCCTATCTGCTTTATACTCTATTTTTTGATTCACACCTCTAACTGCAACCCTGGATCTATACTCAACTCCCCAGCTCAAAACGTATCCTGCCTCCCTGGAAGCCTGCTGTCACCTGAGATAAACCAGTGCTGCCTACTTCACTAGAGGTCTTTTCCACTGAAAACAACCAGAGGAGGTGATCTGCCATTAAGGTCTACCACCACTATTTGCAGTCTCAGAGGCCTACTACCAACAGGGACTACCAGGCCAACCAAGATCAGAGACAACCAGATGACTAAAGGCCACTGTAAGAGCAGATTCAACAAAAACCAGGGCAAGGTGGCACCATTATAACCCAGATCCCCTACTATAGGAAGCCCTGGATATCCTAACACACTTGAAGAGCAAGACAGTGACCTTAAATTACATCTTATGAAGATGATAGAGACCTTTGAAGAAGAAATAAATAAATCCTTGAAGAAATACAGGACAATACAATCAAATAGTGGCTTATGAATAGGTAATGGATAGATATAAAGAAATACAGGAATCAATCAAACAAGTAAAAGAAATAAATAAAACTGTTCAAAACCTGAAAATGAAAATGAAAACAATAGAAGAAACAGAAGCAACCCTGGAAATGGGAAAATCTAAGAAAGAATGGAGCTATAGATGTAAGCATTACCAACCGAATACAGAGATGGAAGATAGAATCTAAGTTATAGAAGATACCATAGAAGAAATTGATATATCAGTCAAAAAATGCTAAATCTCAAATTTTTCTAGCACAAAACATCAAGGAAGTTTGGGACCAATCAAAAGTTTCAGCTAGAAATAATAGGAAAGGAAGAAGGAGAATATTCCCAAATTTAAGGAGTTAAGGGCCAAGAAATAACTTCAACAAAATCATAGAAGAAAATTTCCCTAAGCTAAAGAATAAGATGAAGACAAACGCACAAGGAGCTGAAAGAACACCAAATAGATTGGACTAGAAAAGAAAATCTTCCCACCACAATATAATAAAAACACTAAAAGCATAGAACAAAAAAGAATATGAAAAGCTGCAAGGGAAAAAGCACATGTGACATGTCAACAGATATATCAGAATTATACCTGACTTCTCAACAGAGACTCTAAAAGCAAAAGGACCTGTACCAATGTTTTGCAGACTCTAAGAGATCAGACATGTCAGCCAAGACTACTATATACAGCAAAATGTTCAATCACTATAAGTGAACAATCCAAAATATTCCCTGGCAAAACCAAATTTAGACAATATATTTCCACCAATTCAGCCCTACAAAGGATAATAGAAAAAATATCTAGCACAAGGAAAGTAATGATATCCAAGAAAACACAAGAAATTAATAATTTCACTGCAAAACCAAAGGAAGAGAAGCACACACACACACACACACACAGAGAGAGAGAGAGAGAGAGAGAGAGAGAGAGAGAGAGAGAGAAAGAAAGAAAGAAAGAAAGAAAGAAAGACGACTACCATCCAAATAACAGGAACTTGCAACCTTTGGTTATTGATATCTCTCAACATCAGTGGATTCAATTCATTAATAAAAAGACATAGGCTTGGAGCTGGAAAGATGATTCAGGGGTTAAGAGTAATGCTCTTCCAGAGGTTCTGAGTTCAATTTTCAGCAACCACATGGTGACTCCTAATCAATGGGATCCAACGCCTTCTTCTGGTGTGTTTGAAGGGAGTGACTGTGTACTCACATACATAGAATAAATAAATAAATAAATAAATAAATAAATAAATCTAAACAGAGTGGATGCTTAAACAGGATCCATCATTCTGTGGCATACAAGAAACACACTTCAGCAATGAAGATAGAAATTAGTTTAGAGGAAAGGGCTGGAAAAGGGTTTCAAAACAAATTGAACCAAAAGCAAGCTGAAGTAGTCATTATAATATCTATTAAAATAGGCTGTCAATGAGAGCTAATTAAAAGAGATGGAAAAGGACACATCATGCTCATCAAAGAAAATCCACCAAGATGACATCTCAATTCTGAACATCTATCCTCCAAATGCAAGGACACCCACCTTCATGAAAGAAGAATTACTACAGATTACATTGAATCCTACACATTAATAGTGGAAGTTCTCAACACTCCACTCTCACCAATAGATAGATCATTTAAACAGAAAGTAAACATAGAAATCATAAAACTGGCAGATCACCAAGGATTAAGACTGGACATTAAAGCAACAGAAACAACACAAAGCCTGAAAACACATGAAAAGTGAACAATTCTCTATTCAATGACCACTGGGTCAAAGAAGAAATGAAGACATTAAAGACTTTCTAGAATTCAATGAAAGCACAGCATACCCAGACTTATAGGATAACATGAAAGCAGTACTAAGAGGCACTTAGTTCATAGCATTGAATGCTTCCATAAAGAAATTGGAGAGTTCTCACACTAATTTAAAAATACACCTGAAAGCTCTAGAAAAAAGAAGCAAACACACCTAAGAGAAGTAGAAGGCAGAAAATAATCAAACTCAGGCTAAAATTAATCAATTACAAATAAAGAGTACAATATAAAGAATCAACAAAACCAAGAGCTGCTTCTTTGAGAAGACCAAGATAGAGAAACTTTTAGCCAAACTAACTAAAAGGCAGAAAGACAGTATCCAAATTAATAAAACCAGAAATGAAAAGGGACATATAACAACAGACACTGAAGAATTTCAAAAATCATTAGTTCTTACTTCCAAATCCTGTACTTCAGAAAATTTCAAAGCCTAAGTGAAATGAATGATTTTCTAAGTAGATACCACTTACCAAAGTTAAATCAAGATCAAGTAAACTATTTGAATAATTCTATAACCCTAAGGAAATAAAAGCAGTCATTAAACTCTCCCAACCAAAAGAGGCAAAAGGCCAGATGATGTTAGCACATAATTCTATCCAAAGAAGAGCTAATACCAATTCTCCTCAAACTATTCCACAAAATTGAAATAGAACTCATTCTATGGGACCACAGTCACCCTAATAACTAAACCACAAAACAAAGAAAAAGAATTTCAAACCAATGTCCCTTATGAACATTGATGCAAAAAATACTCATTAAAATACTCACAAACTAAATCTAAGAACACATCAAAAACATCATCCATCACAATCAAGTAGACTTTATCCCAGGAATGCAGGAGTGGTTCAGTATACGAAAACTCATTAATGTAATCCTAATGTAACATAATCATATAAAGAAATTGAAAGGGAAAAATGCACATGATCATCTCCCTAGATACTGAAAAAAGCCTTTGACAAAATACAACACCCCATCATGTTAAGAATCTTGGAAAGATCAGAGATATAATACACACACCTAAACATAACAAAGGCAATAGCTAACATCAAGTTAAATAGAAAGAAACTTAAAGGAATTCTACTAAAATGAGGAACAAGGTAAGGCAGTCCACTCTCAGCTTATCTCTTCAATATAGCACTTGAAATTTTAGCTAGAGCAATAAGACAACTAAAGAAAACCAACAGGATACAAATTGCAAAAGAAGTCAAAGTATCTCTAATCACGGTGAAATGATAGTAAACATAATTAACCCAAAACTCTACTAAAGAACTCCTACAACTGATAAATGGCTTCAGTAAAGTGACTAGACACAAAATAACTGTTAAAAAATCAGTGGTCTTCCTTTATACAAATGATAAACTGGCTGAGAAAGAATTCAGGGAAGCAATACCATTCACAATAGACACAAACATATATAAACAATATGTTGTGTTTTCTACATAAACAATAATATGAAATATCTCAGTATAACTCTAACCAAACAAGTGAAAGATCTGTATGACAAGAA